TCCTTTTCTACATCTATGTTTATCACTCCTGAGATAATGGTATCCGAATAATTCTGGTGTAATGTCTAAGTCATGGACTAACCAAGTTTCTGTCACTGCTACGATGAGTGGCTTTAATCTGTTCACCAATGCTTCTACTTCATAGAACTTATTTCTTAGACTACGAGCGTTGGCATATAAAACTCCTAGGTAGAACGGCCTATCCACACAGGCCTTGGAAGCATTCGCTCCCAAGACCTGAGTATTTGAAAACCCACTAGCCGGAGATTTTCCTCACCGTTTTGCCGACGGATTTCTAGTTCAGCTAATGCTTTCTTCCTTTTTATTCTATCTTCGAAAGACATATCAGGTCTAACCCGTATATCGGAATTGTCGTGACAACGAGCGCCACTTAACAGGAGATCCCGTTGCTTCTCCGATTCTAAGATAGCCTTAAGGAGTCTACATGGTCGGTGTTCAACATTTTCCTCAGTCCTCTTGCCTATTCTAACCAGTTTTTTTTTACCTGAACTCGTTTAGAGTCATCTGGTAAGATACTGCGAATATATTCTCCCAGATTGCTTTATGTAACACAACTCCACGTACTGTGTAATGATATGAATCGTCACAGCTATTTATTCGCATCACCAAACTCTTGTTGGAGTTAACTTCTAGTGATCATATATTCATCCACTCAATCATTGAATCTAAGTCATCCCGTAATATCATTCTGTCTGTGTATGGACCTCCAAATCTTTATTTTATCCTCAAAGAATAGAACGAATGACTTTGATACAATTGAAAGTCATCTACATAAAGTAAAGAAGAAAAGGAAGGAGGATTTTTCATCGGGGAACTCCGCTTTTTGCAGATTCCCACACTGATACAGCCCCATTTACCCGTGTCCGTTGTCTCCTATTACTGCGAAAGCCACTTATCCAGTTTTTAACCTTATAATGGATTCCAGAACATTCTAGTTTTAATTTAAGACCCGAATGGGAAGCCTTGTCAAAGACTTTACTTGGATCTATGAAAATTACATCTACAGGGATATTGCTATCTTTCGCTGCAGCCCAATCTTCTCTTGCAATGAGCAGATTTGTCAAACATGATAAGTATTCCCTAAAACCATGTTGTTCCCTGAACAAAAGATTTTCCATTCCATGTAGTTTATAATAGACATCCGAATAATCCTTTTGAGTACTGTGATATTTGCGCAGGTGGGATTGAGTGCTCGATACTTACTAATTAAGTCTGCGCCTTATGCATCTGACCATTTATTGCCTCTTTCCAGTCTCTTGTCATTGTGGACTGCCTCGCATACATCTCAAACAGTATGGATATAGGTTCAGCAATTACATACTACTGAATTTCATAATCCTAGGATGAGTATCGTCAGGATCACTGAACGTATCAGGTTTGAGATGTTGAAGTAGTCTTACGTCAGTAAAGTTCTGGATAACTACAGGATCCGTCGATGAGCAACTCCGACCAAAATTAATCCTTGGTCGTCCTACATTGCTGATGAAAACGCTTTACTTAAATATTCCTAAAGAGTTTTACCTTTCTCGGCATCATCTCTTGCCAGAATTAACGGATTTCATTTTACCAAAATGATGGGATTCAGTCTTTTCTTTGAGTTCGCCTCCCTATGTATGAGAACAACCTTTACGGACCATTTTTGCAATTCCTAACCAAGAGTTTTTCATATGACTGTCTAGTCTTGTTTATTAACGCTTTACAAGTATTCATAATCTCACAGTAACTGGAACTGTAATGCATTAAGCCAGTATAGATGGGCATATTCCAATACCCTTTTTCATGTCTAAGAAGCCTTTTGACATGTTTAGTCATCCATGGTGAACAGTCATTTGGTCTAAGTGATACTAGGCATGGTATAAACGAGGACATAACTGAACTAAGCTTATCTTTAAATATAGACCATGGTTCTTCAACTGACGAGCTGAAATCCGCTGACCAATCTGTTTTAGCAGCACACTCCTGACTCACTGATATGTTAGCTCTCCATATATTTGGGTGAGGCTTAACCTGATCGAATATCATGTCACTAGCTCTAAACGTCAATGACATAACAGCGTGGTCGCTAACGGTGGAAGAATATTTAGATTTGCGATGTCCTCAGTCGATGAGTGATTACCAAGTATAATTAGGAAGAATCTTAGTTTGAACCAAAACGTGTGGGTTTGGATACATGCTGTACTAATCTATGTTTCACTACCGTTATCAGGAACCCACTATCAAAGCAGTTTATAGATCCTTCCGTGGTCATCTCAGTCCAACCAATATCAAGTTCATTGAAGTCTTCTAATATCAAACACTTGTTATTTGTACTCCATAGGTGAATGTGCACTAAAATAAATTAATCAACTAAGCAAATCAGGCTGCGATAGATGACACCGAGTATAAATGTACAACATCCGATAGTGGGCTTGCAGTTATTGATTTCACAAGCTCCACTATCAACGGATCTGCAAGCAAAGGAGCCGATGTTTACATTATTGGCTATGTATAAAAGGATGGACTCAATTTGTCCGATAATTCACCTAGTTCATAGAATTTATTTCTTGAACTACGAGTATTTGCATATAAGACTCGTAGGGATAAGACCCGTCCACACAGGCCTCGATAGCCTCCGCCTTCAAGATCTGACCATTGGGAAATCCACTGGGGGGAGATTTTCCACAACAATTCGTCGGCGGTTTTTTAGTTCAGCTAGTGCCGTTTTCCTTCCCATCCTATCTTCTAGGAGCATATCAGGTCTTAATCGAATGTCAGTATTGTTGAAACTACTGGCGCTACCTAACAGGAGTCTATGTGTCGGGATTCGACACTGTCCTTGGTCCTCTTACACATCCTTATCAATTTTTGACATGAGCTCCTCTGTAGTTATCTGGCAAAATGCTATGGATAAATTCTCTGAGATTTTCAAAATTACGAGTGTATCTAGTTTTGTGATTAGGGCCCTTAAATTTTAGCAAATTACTTAAGATAATATTCGATGACATTAAGTTTATCTCAGCCACGGTTGGATGGAGTTCTGTCTTACTTTCAGACTCTAGTAGTGTATTTCGTGATTCAGAATAGGAGCCCATCAATAACTTGCCAATCAAGTGATCGCCGCCTATGGGCTTTTCCTTTCACTTTTTCGTTTCCATATTGCCACCCAATTTTCACCACTCAGGACAGCCACACCGTCTTTGGGACTGACTACTTCGAGGTCTCAGACAATCTTACTAAGCACCATATACAATAATCAAGATCGATAAACTTTTGAATGTACGCTTGGTGTGCCACCACGCAAGATCGATGTTATAAGGCTGCTCCGCCGACATCCCCGTTTTGCAGTTATTGGTAAACAAAGACATGCCGGGTACTGTTGGCTCGTCGTCAGTAATTCAAGATTCCCATAATTCAGATGTTTCTACCACGAAAGTATTACTATCATTACTTATTTCACGCATCTCATCCATCTTGTTCGGCACAATCGTGGGGTTCACATACAGGTTGTTAGTGCTTTCGATTTGAAACGCGTTAGCTTCCTTGTTCTGTTTATCTGAATGAGCATTATGTGAATGGACAGGCAACCTGCATACACAGGGTATTCTAAGTTGACAGCCTTGTCGTCCTACGTTTTGTCCTTGTTCCAGTTTGCCTCTGTGCCTCATCCTTGCATCATATGGCCTGTCCGGATGCATGTGGATTCCAGTTGATAACAGAGGTCTGTTGGAGCGAAGTGCTACGAGAGTGGCAGTCGCCATACAAGAGGGTGAGAAGGTTATCTTCACGAGCCGGGACCTACAATCACTGTCCCTCCTGGCTAATCACACCACTTATAGAGTCAATATATTCTTGAGCCTCAAGCACTGCTTTATGAATTTCCACTGTAGATCATAGTCTGCATAAACAGGGTCCGTGTTTTTCTGGGACACTTTGTACAATGATAATACTACAGCGAAAAAACGTCTCGTGGGATTCCTTAGGGATGTTCCTGATGCTATTGAACTTAGAATACCATATGTCAGGCGGTATTCTTGCACCCACATCCGATTTCAATAAGTGACTGCCGAGTAGAACATCCCCTACGACGTCAGTGTTAGTGCATAGAGTCATTCTTCCGAATGAGCAATGTAAAGGTCAAAGGCTCTATTTTAGGAAGCATTCTGTCATTTTTATTCTGCAGTCATGATAACCGTCACTAGATAGCGCCCCACTGGCGTATTAATCAGAAGGGGAATACGAAGTGTTGATTACGTCTATTATTTTACAACGCACAGATCACCAAAATTACAGGTACGCTTAGAAAGCATGAAAGGATAATGCCGAAAAAAAGCGGGCAAGCGAGTGAACAAGACTAGAATATACGCATGGTGAGATGAATGAATCACCGAATCAATTAAGCGACTAATAGTAAGACTAGCAGAATGGATATATGCGTAGGCACCAAGCAATGCTCAAGCATACATATTCATACAAGTGTAACAATAATAAAGGTACAATGGTATAGATAAGTTGTTATTGTACGAATGACTGTCCATTGAGTAAACTAGCAAGAGGGCTTAACCAAACCGAATGTGAACAGACTCAATTGCACGTAGGCTGCTATAAAAATATTGACAAACCGATTTACAATTGATGTTTTAAGCACAATATAGATATTATAAATCGCACGAGATCTGATTTTCCACTCATAATATATTTTTACAATGTTTTTTATTCTGCTACGTTATTTGCTACCTTGTATATGGGTTTGGACTTTCGTTGTCTCGTTCTTCTTTCCATTTCCAATTATATGGTTTTAACTATACGCAATTTGAATCTCATAGTCTTCAGTTACCGTGTCTATACGATTGATAGCTGTAGGTTTTATTACGGATAATATCTGGAACGTAATGAGACGGCTCATCGTCAAATGGTCTTTGAAAAAATTGATATTGTCAGTATGCTTACAATACTACTTGACTTACTGTTAGTATCATTCGCCTGATTACCTGAAAAATTACACGTGAACGTTTCGTTGTGATGATGAATACATGTCTCAACGAGAATACGTTGTGGAAATAGGCCTGATAAGCTTATTTTGTAAATAGTTTTTAATGTTATTTGTATTTATTTCGTCAATTTTTCACTGTACGTACATTTGTAATTAAATGACTGTACGTGTTGTTTAAGTGAATGACCTTGAACACACTTTCCGTTGTGTAACCTACATAGCGTGACATAGTGTTGATTGCTAACAAATACATTGCTACACACATATCCCTCGTTCTATTTTCGTTTGCGATTGAGCTAACTGAAATCTAAATCAAATACTACCTACATTTATAGACTGTGAGTGGGAATATACCATACCTTACATTGGATTACACTACTGGAGAGTCCGTCAACCTGATTGGGATTACCAAGCATTTATAATTGTGGATTTTCAGTACCAGACCAAAGCTGAACACGCATCAATTTGGTGAACTTAAGTAAAGTCCCAAATTTTTATTGTATTTGCAACAAATATATATATATATATATATATATATATATATATATATATATATTGATCTTTAATAACTTTGTTGATACTTTTTACGTTTATACATCGTCTGGTCTACCACAATTATTTGGTGAGCCGTGAATCCATTATAGACGTATACTGTTTTTTTTTACTTTGTACACTAGTCCATTTTGTTTTTCACACCATGCACTCTCCCAGCAAACTTATTGATATAGATAGCCCACCAACCAACCCTCTTAATTCATCACAGCCAGAAGGTAATGTTTTAAGCTCAATCAATGCTATCTCTGAGTTAAGACTACCAACATACGGCGTTAACAACCCAAGAATTTGGTTCGCACAGGTAGAAGCACTATTTTTGGCGAGGGGTATACGTTCGCAAGCGACCAAATATGCCCACGTCGTCGGCTCATTACCTATAGAAGTAGCATTGGAAGTTGGTGACCTGATCGATAACGTACCAGAAACCGATCCTTATGACAAGACAAAAGCGGCAGTAATCTAACGCACATCGCTCCCAGACGAAAAACGTTTACTACAACTGCTTACCTCATGCGAGCTAGGGGATAAGAGACCCTCACAGTTGCTTCGACACATGAGACAGCTAGCCGGCCCATACAAACTAGACGAGGCACTACTTAAACAAATGTGGTTACAAAGGTTACCACATAATGTTAGACAAATCCTCAGTATATCAGGAACCTCTGTCACCCTTGACGATTTAGCTGATATGGACGATAAGATGATGGAAATATATCTCGATAGTCGCGGAGTTAACGCGATACAATCCTCCAGTAGAGGAGATATGAGTCACGCACTCAGCATTCAGCAACAGATAACACAACACCAATTCAGGCGACTATTGCAACGATTCATTCTCGACCTGCTAGATCTACGTCCAGAAAAAGGTCAGTGTCCAGACAACGCCCTAGATCACCCAAGCAGGCAGTTGGCATTTGTTGGTATCATTTGAATTATGATGAGAAAGCACGTCGTTACGCCAAACCGTGAAACTTCACGACAAACAAGCCAGATCATCAGGGAAACGAACCAGCCAGACAGTAATGGCGGCGTCAGTTACTGGCCAACACGTTAGCCGCCTGTTTCATGTCAGGGATCGTATTTCTGGCTCGGACTTTTTAGTCGACACAGGAGCAGAAATCAGCATTATCTCACTTCATCTCTCCCGAAGACAACAAACAACAAGCACTAAGCTGTCTCATAGCGGCTGACGAATCAATCATCAAAACGTACGGAGAGCAATTACTCATATTAGACCTCGGACTCCGCAGACGATTCACATGGGTTTTCATAGTTGCGCATGTCAAACAACCCATCCTAGGAGCCAATTTCCTCAGCGCCTACAACTTGTTAGTGGACATGACTAAGAAGAGACTAATTGATGTAAATACATGTTTACAGGTAGATGGTACACCTTCCACCGACTATGAAATCCATGGTGTACGAATAATGAAACCTGCGAATAACGTTTTCAACGACATTCTGACAATACGAGTGCATCACAAAAACAGGTCATCAAAAGGAATGTAACCCGCATCAGGTGCAACACTACCACCGGTCCCTCTATTTACGCCGGGGCGAGGAGACTACCCCCAAACAACTTGCAAGCGGCTAAAAGGGAATTCGAACACATGATGCAACTTGGTATTATCAGGCCATCTAACAGCCCTTGGGCCTCGCCACTACATATGGTATCGAAAAAGACCAAGACTGGCGTCCGTATGGTGACTATCGCCGACTGAACAACCAAACCATTCCCGATAAGTACCCAATTCCACATATACACGACTTTTCATTAAACCTAGACGGTAAATGCATCTTTTCGAAACTCGACCTAGTGCGAGCATATCACCAAATTCCGAAGGCACCGGAAGACATTGAAAAAACAGCCATCATCACACCTTTTGGTTTGTTTGAGTTTCTAAGGATGCCATTCGGACTGAAAAACGCTACTCAGACATTCCAACGCTTCATGGATGACGTTGCAAGAGGCCTAGATTTCGTGTTTGCCTACATAGACGATGTTTTGATTGCAAGCTCATCTTTAGAAGAGCACATTCAACATGTCCAGATCCTCTTTGATCGTTTTAAAAAACATGGCGTTGTCATTAATCCTTCGAAATGTATACTCGCAGTCCCAGTCTCAGAGTTTTTGGGACATTACATCGACTCACAAGGTATCAAACCACTTCAGAAGAAAGTTGAAGCTATCACTAACTACCCCGAACCAACCTCTGTGAAGTCATTACGACGTTTCCTCGGGACGTGTAATTTCTATCGCCAATTCCTACCACGTTGTGCTGAAGTGTTACAGCCATTAACCGATTTGCTGAAAGCCGACAAAAAAGGTACGAAGAAAGAGAAGAATTAAACATTCAACCTACCTCCTGACGCCAAAACGGCATTTGAAAAAGCAAAGTCGATGATAGCTAATGCCACCATGCTACAACATCTAAATACTGACCCCACAACCCACTTGATTTTGTGTACGGATGCATCTCAAAAAGCCGTCGGGGCAGTTTTGCAACAACAGGTAAACAACGTGACTATTCCCATACCGTTTTTCTCCAAAAGACTGTCACCAACTCAGGAACGATATAGTACTTTTAGCCGGGAGTTACTAGCCATCTACTTAGCTGTCAAACATTTCAACTTATTATAAGGGCGAACTTGCACTATAACGACTGATTACAAGCCTTTGTGTTACTCATTCAACACTTCCTACGACCGGCACTCACCTCGCGAAGCACGACAATTGGATTACATTCCCCAATTTACAACAGATATCCAATATGTCAAAGGACATACCAATGTCGTAGCTGACGCTTTATCACGAAAGTATGTAAACACTCTGGTACGTAAACAAGATATCGATTTGGAAACAATCGCGAAATTGCAAGTAGATGACGCAGAAATAAAAAGCTGCCAAGAGAAGTCTAACTTGATATTCAAACACGTACCTATACCTTTCTCTAACACATCTATCATTTACGACTTTTCAACGGGTAACAATCGCCCCTTCGTCCCTCTAGCCTGTCGTCGGCAAGTATTTCGTCAACTCCATGACCTTTCACATCCAGGAATCAGAGCCACAACTAAATTGATTACGGAACGTTTCGTGTGGCCAAAGATCAATTCAGATATAAAACGATGGACGCGAAGCTGCTTACAATGTCAACGCAGTAAAATTCAAGAGCACACAATCAGTCCTGTTGGCAAGTATCCACTGCCAGAAAAACGTTTTCAACATATCCATCTAGACATAGTTGGTCCACTGCCACCATCCAATTCATTCACGCACATCCTTACTGCAGTGGACAGATTCACCAGATGGGCGGTAGCATGCCCTATTGCTGACACTTCCGCAGAAACAGTAGCCGCCGTATTCCTCGACCGTTGGATAGCAAATTAGGGAGTAACTTCCATCGTCACTACAGACCGTGGTCCCCAGTTTCAGTCTATCTTATTTCAGGAATTCACTAGACTTCTCGGGGTAAACCACATCAAAACGACAGCCTACCACCCAGCAGCTAATGGCTTGGTCGAAAGGTTTCACTGCCAACTAAAAAGCTCGCTGATGGCGCAGGACGATACATCAAAATGGAGTGACGCATTACCACTCGTACTCCTGGGCATCCGTTCAACTACAAAGGAAGATATAGGTTGTACAGCCACCGAGCTAGTTTATGGTACAACCCTTACATTACCAGGTAAACTAATGAACCCAAACCCTTCAAAACCAACGGACCCCAGTCGTTTTGCTAGTCAACTGCTACAAACCATGCAAGAAATCAAATTCATACCGCCGCGTGAACATAACAATCGAATACAACTCGACAGAAACCTAGAAACATGCAAGTTTGTCTTCGTTCCAGTTGATGCCGTTAAAAAGCCATTGAAACAACCTTATGAAGGACCATATCAAGTTATTAAAAGAACGAACAAACACTTCATAATCAACAAGAGTGGAAACAAAGAGACTATCGCTATCGATAGAATAAAACCTGCTTTCTACGAAGCTCAACTAGACAAAGAAGATAGCACGGCACTTAATCAACCCCTTCAACCAATCACTACTAGAGCAGAGGGGGATGATAAACTGAGTACCAAACCTACTTGTTTAACACGGTCAGGCAAAACCGCAAAGAAACCCAAGCGCTATGTACATTTTGCTGAATAAAAAAAATCAAAACAAACAATTATCGATGCACTACACTAGTAAATTCACCCGATTTTTTCCAATAAAATCTATAATTTTTTTTTCTTTTCAGTGTACATAATTAATCACATTTTTCCACAATTACTCGTTTTGCCAGTTTTTTTTATATAATAAAAATTTTTGTCACAATAATAGACGAGTAAACTCTATTTAATTATAGATTATTATATTAGCATTACTATCGATCTTTAATAACTTTGTTGATACTTTTTACGTTTATACATCATCTGGTCCACCACAACGTTATGTTATGAAAATAAACACATCTCTTTATTTATCAGTTGCTAGG